GCATGAGTATTTTTAATCTGCATTACATTGCTGTCTATTTCTCATTATTATTTAATATAGATAATAGCGGTTCAAGTTAGAAATCAGTGCGTCCATGTGTTTAAAATACGACGAAAAGGGACTGTTATCGGAATTTTAATCGCGTTTTTCTCAGAATGATGTTTTCAAAAATGGTGGACACCAGAACTACCACAAAATTAATCCAAATGCTTTGAAATTTGCCTCAGTTATTGTCAATTAAATTATCTGAAGAAATACCTATGATTTTTGCGATAACTTATATACCTTTTTTGTTATCCATATTTTTACGTCGAATTTTTACGTGAAAATTGAACTTTTTTTCACGCATGTACCATTTTCACATTTTTCAATATTTTTTAATTCTATCAGGTATTTCTCTAGCAAATTTAATGCAGATTAAAAATAATTTTTTAATTTTTGGCTGTAGCATACCTTGAATCCGTTCTGTTGTCCATCGTGGAGACTTTCATCCCATGCAGGCTTCCAAAAAACGTGCTGTTACACCGCCATTTTGTTTTTTAGAATTGTAACTTTTATACATTTTGTATATTTTTTTAGAATTATAATTTTTATACATTTGTACAAAATACAAGTAACAAATAGGTATAAAAACATTTTTTGTATCATGTATAGTTTTTTAATAATCACCTCTCAAAGTAAGGTATGATTTTGAGACCTCTTGAGTGAACTAAGCCCTGTTAAAGGAGTACATTTAAGTGGTTGCGATAACCACGCGTGATTCTTTCCATACGGTATCGCATAATTTCAAGTGATTGCCAAATGCGATCGGTTAACATGGGTCGCATTTGACAATGGAACCAGGGCAAGACTCAAATCAGCTAACCACCCTTATAAAAATGTTTCACCGTTTTTAGCCCGTTTTTAGCCCGCGCGAACAGTTAATTTGAGTGGTGAAAACGTGCATTTTACTCAGTGAGTATGACTCCGTTTTTAGGTCGCAAACAGGAACTTTTCCGTAAAAATGAGTGGTTAAAACGGATTGCACTCATGCAGGACACAAGTATATCTGAGTGGTAAAAACGTATACATTACGAGTATTTTTGAGTGGTAAAAACGTAAATTTGAGTGAAAAAATTTATACCAGTGCAAAATACTCATTTAGCACTCGTCACTCACATTGCACGTTTTCACCACTCGAAATTACTCGTCGTAAGGCATAACCGATAGCACGAGAAAATCAGCTCCTGTCGAGATTCGAACCGAGGCCTGGTCTCCAAGTCTGCTCTACGAGGCTGCCACTTTTCCACTGAGCCACACTCCTATATCGATATTCGCTTACTTATGTACCTCTTATATGAAACATTATAATTATTACGAGCTTCCTTTACATGTAAATGAAGCTTGTGGTTATGAACAAAATTAAAAGTAATGAATGATTTAACTGAAAATTAAGTTATAGTAGTTCCTTAAATGTAATGAACATGTACATTAAATTTATGAAATTTAATGTACTTTTAATAAAATTTTATGAAAAGTACATTAAATTTCATAAATTTTCATGAAAAATACATTAAATTTGATGTAATGTCATGAAATTAATTTCAAATTGTGTAACTTAAAATGTAATGAAATTTAAGAACATTTCTAACAGTGTAATTATATTTAATACATTGTGTATGAGTTACATACGTACAGGGTCATCGAAAAGTATCGGACCCCCTTAATATCTTCAGTTAGAATGCATTTTGGAGAAAATGTCCAATAGCAAAGTTGTATGGTTTCAAACGAGGAGTAATATGATGACCTTGACTTTGATCTTGACCATGTCCTTTAAGGTCATTTCAAGGTCAACCTTATTTTTTTAAATAGAACCCCCTACATTTTATTGCAT